ACCCCTGGGGATAAAAATATATGTTTATAAAAAAGAAAAAAAAAGAAATGACTTCTGAACCCACCAATAAAAATAAATAAATAAATAAATAAAATGGTGGATAGGATTTAAATTGTCAAACATATACATGTATATTTACAATTTTATTTAAATATTTATTTATTTACTAAAATTTTAATTTATGCCTTCCAAATAGCTAGACACCAGTATGTGAGCCTCTATTTATTTATACTTTTGCTCTGGTTCCCTGAAATGCTACTGACAGGTCTGCTTAGCCCAAATCCATCCACTTCCTCTTGGTAAATTATGCAAAAACTCCTGTTGTGTATTGTATAAAAATCAGAAAATACAAGTGAGTAAAAAACAGGTAAAATTACCCATTAACCTAACACCCATAGGACACTACTAACATTCTCAGAGTATACACCAAAGCTTATATATGAGATAGTTGAATATATATACTTTTTCTTTATAAAACGTACAGCATGTTCTCTTGTAGCCTATTTTCCCCCACTTAAGATTATATGCTAATTTGTTTCCAAGTAAATAAATGTAGATGCCTATCACCATTTTCAATTGCTACAAAATGTTTCAATGTGTAGACACACCCTAATTTGTCTAGCCAAGTGCCTATTTTGAGGCCCTTGGGTCATTCACATGTTTTCACTCTTCAAACACTATGAAGACGCACAGCTTTGTACAATCCAATTATTTGATCATTTTCTATAGATAAATTTCTACAAGTGGGATTACTGGCTCAAAGAGCACACACATCTTAAAGACTTCTGAAACATGTACCCAAATGGACCTTGTACGGATGTATGCTCCTACCAGCCCAGTTTGAGAGCGCCCCTCCCACCACACCCTCACCACACTCTAGGGTGGGAGAGAGGTGGTTCTTCTACAGTATTGATGCCAATACCACTCTCAATGATCCCATAAAGGCCCTGCCTTAGTCAACCTTCTAAATGAAACCTGATAGAAGCACTAAATATTGTTCTTTCTTCTATTATACTTTCTTATTATTTCAAAAAATAACTAATGTATTTACTGACATAGACACCAGATTTGGCCAAGAAAGAGAGTGTTTTCCAATGAAGTGCTACCAGGACCCTAAAATAAAATTGTTCCTCTCTGTATGCCCTCAAGATATGTTCCATCACTTCTTTGTTCAGAGTCTCTCACTTCCTTCCTCCCCTTGCCATTCCTGTGGCCAGTAGTGAAGTCTCACACTTCTATCATCTCATGCCTGGACCATGGCAGTGACTTCCTAACTGGTGTTCCAATCTCCAGTGGCCACTCCTTTCCCCATCCCAAATCTGACCCAACCTGCACACAAATCAGCTACATCCTTTTCCTTTCGTTTTCATTCCTCTGGGCACAGAAGGCTTTGGGGCCTCCCAGGGGTGGAAGGAGTAACATTCAAATACCCAGGTTTAGCAATCAGGGATCCTGCATGAAGGGGTTCTCCCAGACTGATGGATTACATTTCCCGTCATTCCTCTCCCTGCACTTGGAACTTCAGGCAGGCCAGCCTCCTCTCTGGATTGGGATTCCCACCTCCATGACTTTCTTCCCACCACTCCACCCTCCTCCAATGCTCTCCCGCCCCATTTTTATCCTATCCTTCAAGCCCAGCTTATTTAAACATCCCTCTCCTCTGCACAACTTTGCCTGAGTACTGCTGCCTGAAGACATTTCTGCACCGACAGGAAGGATTTGGACAGAGGCTTGCAGTTTTGTTAGTTTGTTTTTGTTTCCATACATCTTGCCTTTCCAAATAGATCATAAACTCAAGGACAAAGATGTGTCTCTTTTTTTCTGCTTAAAACACACAACTTTATTGATAACATAAAAATAGTCTCAAATGTAGAAACACAAGTCCACACAAAGGACCAAAAATTACCTTACTCATGAAGAATCAGGTCAGTTTCTGCTCATGAAGCATACTAAAAATATCTCAATCCAGACAAGGTAATAGTCAACACATGTATTTTCAGTACATTTCATGTCCATAAAGTGATCCAGCTACAGACCATCACAAGTAACATCAGTTTCAAAGTTGTAATGCAATTTATAATGTGCATTACTTCCAGACTGCAAAACCAAAATATTACTCAGATTTGTTTGGGAACATACAATTAATCAGAGTTTACTTAATAATAGCTCAACTCTTTCTTTCACCTCAGGGTCACTGTACTCTGCTGCTAAGACTCGGAGCTTCTTGGCACAAGCTTTAGGTCGTTGGAATATGAAGTAAAGGGAATTTTTACTGAACTTGTCCTGGGTAAATACTTTTGCCCTTCTTTTAAAATGATAATTTATATTTTCAAATAGTGAAAGAGCATTAAGAATATTCTCTTTTGTCTCTTTCTTGCTAAAGATATTAATCAGTGATGTTGGTGCATTGGCAATGAGTAAGTCTTTTGTCATAGATGGATTTTTAGAGAAATTCAAAAGCATTCCCAAAATATGGTCTTTCGTTTCTCCACTTCCCACAGTTAACAAACGAAGAAATTCTGAAATATAATTTGTAACCATATGCTGATATTCACTAATAATAGTCAAATGCTTTATCAGTCTTAGTCCAGCCAGCTGTACATTTGAATTCAAGGGATAGGTGACTGTGTCTTCACAAACTTGGTTTAAGTATGTTTTCACCTTCCTATGATTTTCAGCAGCCACTGAGATGTTATTCAGTGCATTTAAAGCCTTCTGCCTAACACTGGGATAGGGATTATTGAGCAAACTTTCAATAATTGAGATTCTACCTGCATTACGAATGACTTCATGGGAAAAGGGATATTCAGGACTGTTATAAAGAGCATTATTAGCTATTTCATGAATAGAAGGATCTTCAGTCATTTCAATCATGCAAATGAGTTTTTCAAGTTCTCGTGGATCCATATTTGCTTCGCGTTTACAGCGACAGGTCCAGGGCTGAGTTTTCTCCTCATACCTGATCTGCTTTCTGAGCTCATCCTCAGGTGGAAAGCAGGACTTATTTTGGTATGGAAATTCCATTTCTGTCCAGATCATGGCTCCTGCCCATGACCCCATTCCTGCACCAGGGACCATGGATGGATATGTGCCTCTTGACTCAGCTGACTTTTTGGCTTTAGTCTTAGGTGCAGATTTGTCCTCACTTCTGTTTTCATTACCATCCCAGAACCAAGACCTTTCATCAACTCCACCAGCAGTTGGTGCCTCAAGCTTACCCTTGGCATTGGCCTTATCTCCAGCTCCACACTCAAAATTGACATTTCTCTCCCTCTTGGGTCTGAACTCATTACTCCTCTCACTGTCAGCCCAAAACAAGGACCTTAAACTGATTTCCTCAATATCAGGGCTAGACGCTCTACTTAGCTCATCCTCATCTACATCCTCAGCCAAAATCCACGACTCCATGCAAGCCTCTTCCTCAGCCCCAAGCCTAGAGCCCGTAGTGGCTGCATCTCCATCCCAGAGCCAAGACTCCTTCCTGACCTCTGCCTCAGCCCCAGCCTCAGCCCCCACAAAGGAATCCATACAGGCTGCCTCTTCAGAGCTGATCCAGGACCCAATACTGGCCTTATCCTCAGCCCCAAATCTGGAACTAAGGATGACCTCTTCTTTAGCCCCTGATCGGGATTCAATATTGGCTTCATTTTTATCTCCAGGTTTGGATACAATACCAGCCTCTTCCCCTCTCCTGAAGCAAGACCCTGTACTAGTCTCACCCCCTGTCCTAAACCAGGATCTTTCGTTGGCCTCCATCTCAGCACTGATCTGGGGTCTTCCACTGGCCTGGTCACCAGCCCTAGCCCAGGTCCCTCCACTTGCCTGGTCCTCAAGCCCCAGCCTAGATCTTTTACAGGCTTCATTATGAGGCCTAGACCCAGCCCACAATTTTCCACTAGCCTGGTCCCCAATGCCAGCCTGGGAGCCTTCTCTACCTGCTGGGTCCTCAAATCCAGGTTTGGGACAGCTATCGGCCTGAATCCCAGCCCCAGCCCAAGGCCTTCCACTGACCTGACTCCCAGTGCCAGTCCAGGACCCACCACTAGACTGGTTTGCAAGCCCTGGATTAGACCCTCCAACAGCCTGGTCTTCAACACCAGACCAGAACCTTCCTTTACTGGCTTGATCCTCAAATCCAGGTTTGGGACAGCTTCTAGCTTGATCTCCAGTCCCTCCCCAAGACCTTCCACTGACCCAACTTCCAGTATCAGCCCAGGACCCACCACTGGATGGGACCATGGGCCCTAGTCTAGATCCTCCAATAGCCTGGCCACCAGACCCACCCCAGGACCCACTTGCATTAGATTGACTCTCACTGCAAGCACAGAACCATCCACTGGACTGGTCCTCGGGCCCTGATCTACATTCTTTACTGGCCTGGTCCCCAGTGCCAGCCCAGGAATCTGCAATGGACTGGTCCCTGGGACTCAGCCCAGACCCTCCACCAGCCTGACCCCCATTGTCAGCCCAAGACCCTCTTCCACTTGCCTGCTCTTCAAATCTAGGTTTTGTCCCACCACCAGCCTGATCCCCAGGTACAGCCCAGGTCCCTCCATTGGCCTGGTCCATGGCCCCAACCAAGAACCCTCCACTGGCTTGGACCCCAGAGTCACCCCAGGACCTTCCACTGGACTGGTCCTCAGGCCCCAACCTAGGCCCTCCATCAGCCTGGCCACCAACCTTAGCCAAAGACGCTTCTACATTTGCCAGATCCTCAAATCTTGGCTTGGACTCACCACCAGACTGATCACTAGTCCCAGCCCAGGACCCGTCGTCACTGGCCTGCTCCATAGTCCCAACCAAGAATCCTCCACTGGCCTGATTCCCAATGCCAGTCCAGGACCCAACACTAGACTGGTCCACAAACCCTGGTTTAAAACCTTTGCTGGCCTGTTCCCCAGCCTTAACCCAGGACTCACCACCCGACTGGTCCATAGGTCTCAGCCTGGAGCCTCCACTAGGTTGGTCTGCAGTGTCAGCCCAGGTCACATTTTCACTGGCCTGATCCTCAAATCTAGGCTCGGATCCACCAGACAGACCACCAGTCCCAACCCAGTACCCTACACTAGCCTGGTCCATATCCCCAGGCCAATACCCAATACTAGCCACATTCCCAGCTTTAGCTTCAGCCCAGGACCCTCCATTAGCTTGAATTCCAGCACCATCCTGGGACCTTCCACTGGCCTGTTCCTCAGCTCCAGTCCAGGACCCTCCAATGGCATCTTCCCCAGCCCAGGACACCCTACTGGCCCGACCTCCAGCCCAGGGCTCCCCAATAGCCTGGTTCCCAGTGCTAGCCCAAGAACCCCCACTGGCCTGGTTCTCAGCCCCAATCCAGGATGCTCCAATGGCCATGTCCCCAGCCTCTGACAAAGAACCCCCACTGGCCTGACTCCCACCCCAGAGCCCCCCACAGGCCTGGTCCCCAGCTGCAGCCCAGGATGGAAAACCAACTTCATTCTCAGCCTTAGCTCCAGCCCAGGACCTAATATCAGACTTATGACTAGCTCCACTCCAGGACTCAATACTGGCTTCGTTCTCATCATCAGCCCAGGACATGCTATTCTCCCAGTATCCATCCCTGGCCTGAAACCTAAATTTGATCCATCGCTCAGAAGCAATCCAATCCTCAATACCAATCCCATTCCAGTAATAGTCATGGACCCTAGGCCGAGTCTTACTGCAGGCCTGAGTACCTGTCCCACTCCCACTCTCAGAAGTGAGCATGGCCTCAGACTTGGGTTTTGCATAACCCTCATCTCCTGTGGCTTCTGCCTCAGACTTGGGTATAGCCTTGTCCTTTGTCTCAGGCAAGATCTTACTCTGGAAATGGGCTGCAGACTGAGGCTGGCCAGAGCCCATCATATGTGCCCCAGCCTCTACCCTAGACTCAGCATTGGTATTTCCCCTGACCTTACTTCTGGCGCCAAGGAGGGCCTCACCCTGAGAAATGGCCACGGCCTGGGGTGAAAGAGAGCCTACTGTATCTTGCCTATCCCTTGCCTTTAATACCACATTGAGATTGTCCCTGACCTTATTTCTGGCACCAAGCAAGTTTTCACATTGGGAATTAGACATGGCCTGGGGTTGGGCAGTGCCTGTTATATCTGTTTGAGGCTGAGCTGAACACATTATATCTGGCCCAGTACCCGCCTTAGACGTAGCACTGGGATTGCCCTGGACCTTACTCCTGGCAGCAGACAAGGTTTCACCTTGGGAATTAGACACAGCATGAGGCTGGGCAAAACTTGTTGTATCTGCTCTGGCCTCTACCTTAGACACAGCATTGGGATTGCTTCTGACCTTATTCTTGACACTAGGCAAGGCTTCACTCTGGGAACTGGCCACAGCCTGGGGCTGGGCAAAACCCACTGTATCTGGCCCAATCCCTGCTTTAGATGCAGCACTGAGAGTGCCCCAGACCTTATTCTTAGTGACAGTTAAGACTTCACCCTGGGAATTGGCCACAGCCAGGGGTTGGGGGGAGCCTATTGTATCTGTTTGAGGCCAGGCAGGGCCCACTGTATCTGCCCCAACCTCTGCCTTCGACACAGCATTGGGATTGCCGCTGACATTCTTAGTACCAGAAAAAACTTCATCCTGGGAAGTGGCCACAGCCTGAGGCCAAGCAGAGCCCGTCACATCTGCCCTGGCCTCTGCCTTAGACAGAACTTTGGAATTGCCCCTGACCTTACTCTTATTACCAAACAAGGCTTCACCCTGGGAACTGGTCACAACTTGGAGCTCGGCAGAGCCCACTGCATCTGCCCTGGTCTCTCCCTTACACACGGCACTGGGATTGCCCTTGACCTTATTCTTAGTACCAGATGAGTCTTCACCCTGAGAACTGGTCACAGCTTGCGGCTGCGCAGAGCCCACCGTATCTGGCCCAGTATCTGCTTTAGACAAAGCACTAAGATTACATCGAACCTTACTTCTGGCACCAGGCAAGGCTTCACCCTTGGACTCATCCTGAAGCTTGGCAAAGCTTGTTGTATCTGCTCTGCCCTCTACCCTAAACACAGCATTAGGATTGCTGCTGACCTGATTCTTCACACCAGGCAAGGCTTCACACTGGGAAGTGGCCACAGCCTGGAGCTGGGCAGAGCCCACTGTACTTGGCCCAGCCCCCGTCTTAGACGCAACATTGGAATTTCCCCTGACCTTGTTCTTAGCCCCAGGCAAGACTTCACCCTGGGAATTGGCCACAACCTGAGGTTGGGCAGAACCTGCTAAATCTGGCCCAGTTCCTGCTTTAGACAAAGCACTGGGGTTGCCCTTGACCTTTTTCTTGACACCAGGCAAGGCCTCACCCTGGGCATTTGCCACAGCCTGGAGCTGGGCAGATCCCACTGTAGCTGGCCCAGCCCCTATCTTAGACACAGCACTGGAATTTCCCTTGACCTTGCTCTTAGTCCCAGGCAGGACTTCACCTTGAGAACTGGCCACAGCCTGAGGCTGGACAGAGTTCACTGTATCTAGTCCAGCCCCTGTTTTAGACACAGCACTGGATTTACCCTTAACTTTATTCTTGATGCTAGGCAAGGATTCCCCTTGGGAATTGGCCATATCCAGGGTCTGGGCAGACCCTGTTGTATCTGTTTGAGGCTGGTCAGTGCCCATTGCATCTGCCCTGGCCTCTGCCTTAGACACAGCACTGGGATTGCCCCTGACCTTATTCTTAGTACCAGACAAGACTTCACCCTGGGCATTGGCCACAGCCTGGAGTTGGGCAGAGCCAACTGTATCTGGCCCAGCCCCTGCCTTAGACAAAGAATTGGATTTGTCTCTGATCTTATTCTTGGTACCACGCAAGGCTTCACCCTGGGCATTGGCCATAGCCTGGAGCTGGGTAGAGCGCAATGTATCTGGCCCAGCCCCTGTCTTAGAGATGGCATTGGATGTGCCTCTGACCTTGTTCTTAGTACCAGGCAAGGCTTCACCGTGGGAACTGGCCACAGCCTGGGGTTGGGCAGAGCCTGTTGTATCTGTTTCATCCTGGGCAGAACACATCGTATCTGACTCAGTCCCTGCCTTAGACACAACATTGGGATTGCCCCTGACTTTGTTCTTATTACCAGACAAGGCTTCACCCTGAGGACTGGCCACAGCCTGGAGCTGTCCAGAGGCCAATGTATCTGGCCCAGTCCCTGCCTTAGACACAGCATTGGGATTGCCCCTGACCTTATTCTTAGGTCCAGACAAGGCCTCACCCTTCGAACTGGCCTTAGTCTGGGGCTGAGCAGAGCCTGCTGTATCTGTTTCAGGCTGGACAGAACATATTGAATCTGGCCCAGGCCCTACCTCAGACATAGCATTGGGATTGCCCTTGACTTTATCCTTAGTTTTAGGTGACATTTCATCCTGGAAAGTGGCCACAGCATGATTCTGGGCAGAGCCCATTGTATCTGGTCCAGCTCCTGACTTAGATATAGTATTGGAATTGCCCCTGACCTTATTCTTGGCATCAGGCAAGGCCTCACCCTGGGAACTGGCCATAGTCTGAGGCTGCCCACAGGCCCTCAGTTCTGCCTTAGCCCCTGACCTAGAAATAGCATTAGGATCACCCCTGCCATCAACCCTGGAATCGGGTAAAGCATCAGCGTGGGTCTTGGGCCCAACCTGAGGCTGCACGCTGGTTTTCATTTCTATCCCGACTCCTGCTTTACGCTTGCTTTTGCCTTTTCCCCTTGTCTTACCTCTAGTACCAGGTAAGGTCTCAACCTGGCTCTTGGTGGAAGCCTGAGACTGTGCCTTTGTGTCTGTCCCAGCCGCTTCCTTAGACATGGTGTTGGCATTGCCTTTAGCCTTAATCCTGCCATCAGGCAAGGCATCAGCCTGGACATTGGCCCCAGGCTGAGGCTGTGTATAGAGCTCCATGTCTGTCCCAGCCCCCATCTTAGACATGGCATTGGGATTGTCTCTGGTCTTAACCCTGGCATCAGGCAAGGCCTCAGCCTGGGAACTGGCCCTCGGGTTTGCCCTGGCCCCTGTTTTAGACAGAGCACTGGAGTTGCCTCTACCTTTAAGCCTGGTGTCCAGCGTAGCCTCAGCCTGAGCACTGGCTATAGCTTGAGGGTGAGCAGCAGCCCTCATGTCAGCTCCAGCCATTGCCTTAGATGTGACATCAGTATTTCCCCTGTCATCAACCCTGGCACCAAACACTGTCTCGATCTGTTTCTTGGCCACAGTCTGAGGTTGCATAGGAACTCTCATATCTGCCCCTGCCCCTGCCTTACACAGGGCATTGGTATTAGCCCCAGCATCAACCTTTGCCCCAAGCATAGCTTCAGCCTGGGTCTTGGCTATAATCTGAGGCTGGACAGAAGCCCTCGTGTCTGCCCTAGACTCTGCCCGAGACACTGTTTTGTGTTTCCCCTTGACCTCAACCCCAGCACCAGGCACGTTGATGACCTGGCTCTTGGTTACAGCCTGAGATGGTGTGCAGAACCTCATGTCCGCTTCAACTTCTGCCCTGGATGAGGCATTAAGATTTCCCTTAGCATCAACTGTGTTACCAGGCCTGGCCTCAGACTGATTCTTGGCCACACTCACAGTCTCTTCCGGGGCTCTTGCCTTGGTCTCAGCCACAATTCCAGTCTTACTTATGGCACCCATCTTGGCCACCTCCCTGGTCACTCCTAAGGCCTCACTCTGGGTCACTGTCACTCTGTTCGTCTCTTTTTCAGCCAGTATACGAGCTTCCACTTTGGTCTGGGTCATTACTTCTTTCTTGGTCTCTGCCCTGGCAGCCAGTGGCCAAACTTTAGCCTTGGTCTGGGTCACAACCTGTCTCCTGACTACTCTCCCAGCCTCAGAGTCAGTTTGGGTCACGGCTTCTTTCATAGCTACTTCCCCAGCTTTGACCTGGGCTTCAGTCAAAGTCACTACCTCTGTCATGCCCACTTTTCTGGCCACTGTTTTGGCCTCAGATTGTATCTCTGCCTCTGCCTCTGCCTCTGCCTCTGCCTCTGCCTCTGCCTCTGCCTCAGCCATTGTCATGGCCTGAGAGCTGGCTTTGGGTCTAGCTTTAGCAGTGGTGGTAATCTCTACTTCAGCCCCAGCCCTCCCTCCTGTTTCAGCTTCTGCTCCAGATGTGGCCTTGGGTCTAGTCTCAGTCTCTGTCCCACCCATGGCTTCACCTGTGGCCAGGGTCTGGTTCTGTACCCCAACCACAGTCCCCATCTTGACCCTGGACCCATTTTTGGCAAGTGTCCTCACACTCTGGACTCTTCCTTTGGTTAATCTGTAAAGGTAGTAGCAGGTACCTGCCCAAACCACCAGTCCTGCAGTCACCCAGGACACTTCCTGAACGCGGCCCATGTAATCACCCCTAGTAAAGTCACGAACAAGGCACAGGGGGCTCAATCAGGATGGGGAAAGAGGGTAGTAGGTCTGGGTGTAGGCCTGTGAGGGCGCTGGTCTTCAGCCACTTAAAGGCCACTACAGCTGCCACTGGAGGTGGACCTAGAAGTGGAGGAAGGAAATGGACTAAAATTTCTCTTCTACTTTGTGCCTCATACAGATAGATACACAGAAGGACAGGAACGTGTAGAAATGATGTGCATGGTGTGAGAAGAGGATGATGAGCCAACTCTCTCTCCATCCTTTTTATTTTCTCCCCTCCCATTTTCCTTAGTGCCCAACAACTTTCCCCTAAGGTACATCCACACACATTTTCTTACACCAAATGAAAAATGGAAAAGATGGTGGGGGAGGAACTATGAATGGGAGAAACTGAGAAGCCCTCAGACCTTGATTTTTACTGGACCTATTCTCATCACCATTCCCGAAGGTCCCCATCCTCATACCAACCTGTAATGATCAAGGCAGTTCCCTCCTCTTTCCTTCTCTTGATTGGTGATATACCCTAAAGTAGATCTATTAAATCATGAGATCTGTGGACCTAGAGACAGACAGACAGACAGACAGACAGACGGAGGGACAGATGGTACTGGAGATTTTGTTCTTGATGTGACAGGCATATTATCAAACTACCTTTCTATCTCTCTCAGTTCACCCCACTCTCTGTACCAAAATACAGGCAAGAGTATGACAAGGATGGTGGGAAAGGGAGAGGCAAAGGATCCTCCAGACTGGACATTGACCACACTGGATGCACGCTGATCTCCACCAGCCCACTGTAGAGGTCTACCCAGGCAGTTCCCATCCTCTTACCAGTCTATACTGATCAGGGGTAATTTCCTCCTTGTTTCTTTGCTTCCAGTAATCTCAAGCCCTACAGCAGACCTGCAGGAAGATCTATGGACAAGCAAACAAACGGGGGGTAATAGACACCAAGTCCTCACAGAACACACAAGCACCCTGATCCCTGATCCCAGTATCTGCCTTGGCAGATCCCATGTCCAGTTTGCTATTGTGTCCCATCTTGAAAGCCCTCCTTTCTAGTCCTCTCTCAGTCACACTCCAGCCCACCCCTACCCCAATAAGCTTCCTGTTTCCTGCCCTGAAATCAGCAGGGATGTAGCAACACTGTGGACACGGGGGAGAGTGTAGGAGAGGCAGAAGTACCATACTGAGACCCTCTCAAGTCTCAGCCAACTTCTGTGCTCACCTTCTTGTTATCCCCAGGTGCTGCCCACCTTCACACAAACCTTCATGGTTCCAGGCCAGTTTCCCCCTTTCCCTGGCTTCCAGCCCTACTGTAGGTCTATGGGAGAAGACCTAGGAACAAACAGAGAAAAAGGGGAGGGTAACTGTTGAGTGTTTGTGACATCCCAGCATCTAAAACAGGGGTTCCGGCACCTGCCTTACTAGATCTAGAGACACATTCTCTGGCAAGCAGAACTTGGGGTTTTCCCAGCACTGAAAGGGGCAGCATGTAAAAGGGGGGCAGGAGAAATAAAAGGGAAGAGACAGGGGCAAATTATTTTAAAACCACCTGTAGGATTCTAAGGTTTCTCCCAAAAATCCATCAGTTCCTTCACCAAGGTGCTCAGACAGGCGGGGGAATCTGGAAAATGGAGAGAGAGATGGAGCCCCCCATCCCCTACTCTAGAATCAAACAGAGCCTACTGCCATCTACTTCACCTTAAACCCATCTCTAGGAGTCTCCAGCAGAAGAGACAAGGGGTGAGAAGGCTTTTTCTTCTGCAAAATCGCTATCCCTCCCAGCAAAGGCTATCTCAAAGAACAAGTAACGTTCTTTAATACAATTTGTACTTTCTTAATAGTATCTGAAGTGCAAATGAAAGCATCCATGTAAAAGTTTGTTGTCTTTACTGGTCTTCAACATACAATTTAAGTTAAAAACCCTAAGCTTAGCAAGTAAACGTGATTTAGGGAAAGTCCCCCCTAGTTAGCCCCAGCCCATGTCCCAACCAGACAGTGGCGCCTAAGTTCCTGTGCAGGAGAATTCCTAAAGAACTTCAAATGTTCAGAGGCAGGGCGTGCTCACACTAACCTCCACAGATCCCGTGCAGTTTTCTTCTCTCCTTCTTCCCTTGCCTCGCCACAAACAGTGCCACACGGAACTACTGTCCATCAGACAGGAGAAAGTAAAGGCACTGAGTGCTTGGACCAGCACCCCGGACACAGATCCCAATACCCACCTTTCGGGATTCAGAATCCCGGTTATCAAACATCCCTCCCCGCATTCCCAGACGCCACCCCCACCAACTCCACAGTCCAGTCACCAAGGCCCACCATTTTCTCTGTAAATGCCACGGTGGCATGTCCCTTCCACTGAAATGAGCAGGAAGCTGGGCGGACGTGTGCGGTCAGCGATTAGAATCAGAGAGGATGGGACATCTCAATCTGTGCATTTCCCTCTAGAGACACTTCCCCGCCCCCCACTCCCCAGCCATCCGCCCTGTCAGAGCCCAAGGTTCCCCCGCACGGACGGAGGCAGGGGGAGGGGACTCGGGAGAATCACAGAGAAGGCTCCTGGAACTTAAACCCTCTTTGTCCCCCATCACCGAACTGGCTACTGAGGTAGGCCGACCACTGCCGCCCTGGCCTCAGCGCACAGGCCCCGGGAGCCCTTACCTGCTCCGTTTTCCTCAGGCCCAGTGCCAGCCCGCCAGGCGCAGGACAGCGGGGAACCGGTACCCAGACACGAGTGACGACTGCACCGAAGGCTGCGTCGCTCTGCAGCTCCAGGTCACGTGAGGGCCCCGCGTCACCAGCGAGCTCTCTGCCCACCCATCCCCACCCGCTTCGGCCTGTGGGGAGCTCTACCTGACCCTGTCCCCCACCTCCGCCCTTCCCAACTCCCCCTCCACCAGTCTGCGAGCTGAGCCCCAGAGCGCACCTCCTAGTCACTCAGCTCTGTCCTCTCCAATCTGAGGCGCGACTAGTGAGTTGTCTCACCTCTTTGCGCTTGGGGTTTACCCTTCTCTGATTACTGGGGAGGGTCTGCATATCACCCTCCCCTGGCCTTGGTTCTGGCCTTTTTTCTGCTTAGAGGAATCCTCTCTTTCCCTCTTAGGCTGTAAGACTAACACTCCCCATCGGGTACGTCGCTGCACCAAAATGGGCTAGGGAAGGGGTGTCGGGAAAGGAAGCAGAGAGTGCAAGTAGATGCTTAACTTTCTTTTTTTAAATGTTCTTCCCGCCCCCCCCAACCCCCGCTTTTAAAATCGCATTCATTGTTTTTGTAATTGGGAAATGCGGCAAGTTATTTTCATTCAACATTTAAAAATTAGGTCGTAAAAATAACAAAAGACTCATTTCTTCACATTATTTTGTGCCTCATTAATTGCTATAAACGATTTCAGTTTTCAACACATACTAGTAATTATTGACACTTTATGTACAAAATTTTCCTAAACAAAACCAGCACGTTTTCAATGTGATCTATTAATTGATCTGCGGAAAGACATTCCATTTTCTAAAGCTGGCAATTCCCCACAAGCAATTTACAACCTTTTGAAGTTCTGGCTGAACTTACTATGATCTTCTGTCAGATGTCTGAGAACTTCCTCACAGATGACTCTTGGATGATTGAGTGAAGACCCAACTCTTGATGAACCCAGTGCCTAAAAACTGATGACTTCCCAGATTAACCTGCTTTCAATTCAAGGGACTTTATTTGGATGTTACACAAACGTGGGATCAAATCGGTCTCATCACATGCTGGACAGGACCAACTGCTCTCCCACTGATGGAACTGAGGCTTAGCATGTGAAATTTTCACTTAATCATGACAGTGGTGAGATAGCTCCGGAATCTGTTGTTCAGGTACTGTATGTCTGTCACCCTAACAGCCACTAGTGCTCAGCGTCTTCCAGTGAAGACAGTGCTGAGGGTCTGTGGGTGACTGTGAATCACTTCGACACCCCTGAAATCTGTGCCATTTTTCCCTCACGAAAAGCATAGTTGACAGGATGCCAAGCAGTCACCACCGGCTGAGAGAGGCCATTTCACTCCCTGCCTGCTGTTAAAAATTCACTGCACCACCCATACAAGCCCCTCAGAATAATCCCAGAACTCAGGGACAAAGTATGCAGAAGTTAGTCCCCAGACATTCAGCTGTCCCTGCTAGGGAGTCATACTCTAAATATAGACCCTTTAGGCAGCCTTTTTCTTTGAATGCTGAAATCTGACACCCCAGCAGGAAGCTCTCCCTGTGAGGGGCCCCTGTGTGGGGGAGGCCCCTCTAGGAAGGGAGCCAGGGAGCCCAGAGTGCCAAAGGACCTTACTAATGACTTTTCTGAGCTCAGTCGCCGTAACCAACTTAAATTCTCCATCGAAGGGAAAGATTCAGAAATTGGTTACATAAACTTTTAAAACCTTAGGCAAGTAAAATACAAAACCCATAAGCATAGGCTGACAAGTGGCTAATTTGTAATAATCTAAAAACTTACAAATCACTAGTAAAATGATAACCCAGTAGAAAAATGTGCCAAAGACCTCAATGGATTTGTTCACAGAAATGAAACACAAATGACTGATAAACATGAAAAGATGCTAACTTCAAAGAAAGGCAAATCCAAACAATTATATCTTATCTTGTTTCAGCTAGGCATTTGTAAGAATACAGAAATGTGAGGGATGCCTGGGTGGCTCAGCTGTTTGAGCATCTGACTCTTGGTTCAGGCTCAGATCATGATGTCAGGGTATTTGCTTGAGATTCTCTCCCTCTCCCACTGACCCTCTTTTCTCTCTCTCTCTCTCTCTCATAGATAATTAAATCCTTAAAAATATAGATGGATAGAATTTTGATAATACTGTTGATTGGTTTGTGAAGAAATGGGCACTCCCACACTCTGTTGGAGGCAGGTTACTCTGCTGCAACCTTTTTTGGGTTGGCAAAAATCTATTAAATGATAAATATAACATCACACAAATTCTTTGACCCAGCAATGCTATTACTAAGGATTTAACCAGTGTATATATCTGCACAGTTTCTCAAAGATATGTGTGCATTTCATAAAGGATATCTATTGCAGTACCCATAAAGGTTAAAAAAAAAACTGAAGAAACATAAAGGGAAATGTTAAATACATTATGTTAAATATACAATGTGGTTGATAAAAAGAAAGATTTAGTTCTGTGTATCCTGATGGAAATATACTTTGGGTATTTTATTATTTGCTGTTTATTTTCTGTAATTACATGCAAATTTCACAAGAATATATTCTAGTATAAGAGTCAAACCCGGAAAAACACTAGTACCACTTTAACTCCACTATCCTCATCCAAAGTACAGTTACCTTCCCATTGCTATAAATTTGTTATGTTTAATGATTTTCTATACATTATATATACATGTATATCTTACTAAATATATATGGGATTATATTTAACATACTGTTTTGCAACTCATTTTTTCCATTTAAAATTATATCTCAGAGAGCTCTACATACCAATACTTTTATTTTTTTAAAGATTTTTATTTATTTACTTG